TGAAAATCTGGACATTCAGGACATCTTTAAGCTCCTTCTCTTAGGAAACAAATTTGTGCTGACCCTTCTAAATTTGTCATGTAGGGATATAAGGGTATAACCACCTAGGAGTGTTTGCCTAATAAAGTCTGTACAAGTCAACAATTCAAGTTCTAGGTATACACCCTGGAGGAACTCTCACCCATCTATACCAGGACTCACGCAAAAAAACCACTGGAGTCCTTTTCATAAGAGAAACCTGAAAAAAATACAAATAATAAAAAAATCTGCAAATGAATGAGGTGTGGTCCATTTATATACTATGAAAAAAAATGAACCTGTCAATTAATCTTGCTTGGATCAACAATCAAGACCTTTGGTACTAGAAGTCAGGAAATATATTGCACTAGTAAATTCCACCATCAGAGACCTCTCCAAAATACTGAAGAACAGTGATGCCAGTTTGAAGATTAGGTGTGCCTGATAAAGGCCATGGAATTCTCAATCAGCTGCTATACCTCAGAGAGCTGAACAACGAATAAGAATGAAAGAGGAAGAATCGATGCCTTTAAGTGGAAGTGCTATAGAAGAGCACTGGCTATCCCAAGACTGCAAAAAGAATAAACAGATAGGCCTTGAAAAAAATGCCACCAGGGTGCTCCTTGGAGGCAAAGGTAGTGAAGTTTCATCTCACCTATTTAGGACATGTTGCTAGAAGGGGCTAATCTTTGGAGAGGAAGATGATGCTTGGAAAGGTGGAGGATCAGCAAAGAAGAGGAAGACACTGTGCACTGATACTGTGGCTGCTGTAGTGCTGGAGAAGAGTACTGAATATGCCGCGGACTACCAGAAGAACAAACAGATAGGTATGTCTTGGAAATAATGAAGTCGGAGTGCTCCTTGGAGGCAAAGGTGGTGAAGCTTCATCTCTCATACTTTGGCACATATAGCTAGGCGAGGCTATTCCTTGGAAAGACAGATCATGTTTGGAGAGATAAAAGAGAGAAAGACCCCCTAATGAGACAGATTGGCACTGTGACTTCAGCAAGCGGCTCTAGTGTGTCAAAGATTATAAGGATGGCACGAGACAGGGCCGGGTTCAGATATGTTGTTCATAGGGTCACTATGGGTTGTACTTGACTCAAAAGCACATAAAAGAAACACTATATTGAAATAGAGGAATGTTGTCAATAATATGGATTAACAGAGTGGCTGCAACAATGCTATGGACTTGAACACAGCAGAGGTTGTGAGGATAGTGCAAGATCAGCCAGAGTTTCATTCTGTTGAACGGAAGTTACTATGAGTACAAGCTGGCTCAACAATATGTGACAACAGCAATATACTGCAATTTTTAAAACTCTAATTTTGGAGATCCAAGATGGCGGCAGAGGCAGAGACAGCATGGTGAGAGGCGGGAGCAGTGAACCACTTAAAGCAGGGCCATTATGGCCTTCCACAGACTTTGTCTTATTGATAATTGAAGACTTACACAGTTGATGACTGGCCCTC